TTTATGTTCTCTTATAGGATGTAACCAATTCCGGAAATTCGGCATTTCCAGGAACTCTAATTAACAATGCTACAGACGGAAGCCATTCAGAAAGTAGCTCATCCACCAGCCTCAATAATCTTACTGTTGGGAAAGCTTCTGCTCAAGCTTTAGCACTTACCAAGAAGCGTCTAGAACTGAACGATTCAGAAGATGACTTAAATGATGAAAGTGTCAATTTGGTTGCACTGGATGAAGTTGCTTCCGGTCAATACAGTGAGCATCATCTTTCATCTTTTTAACACTCATAATATATAATGAAAAGAAAATGCATTTTTATCTTCTTACCTTAATAACAGTTCAGCTATCTTGTCTGAGCTAATTGATGAGGTTAACAGGAGGCTGTTAGCATTTTTCTTAAACGAAAAAACTCATGTATTCGTGCATTGAAGATTAGTCGCGATAGGTTTTCAATCGGAATAAATTGTACAATTTTTCTTCATTTATTTTTCAGCAACAGATGAATTGGCTCGACATAGTCCTGGGAGTCTGCATCATAGTCGACGGCGTGTTGCTGCAAACAGTGAAACTGGAGCAGACTCTCGAAGTTTTGCAGGGAGCTGCTCGTCAATAAGCGATTTGGATATGGAGACGTCGGCACATGGTTCTTCAGCAGAAAGCCATCTTGTTGGTTTGATGAAATCGATGAGCGACATGTCTTGCAAGAAATCTACAGTGGACATCAACAGGGATTTTGTGAATCCGGACGATCCCGTATCCGCTACTACTGAAGTGACTGTTGGTCCAAGAAATGGGCACAATTCTCCCGGTTCTGCATGTAAGCAATTATCGTCTATTGGGTTATAAAAGTCGGTTAATTGGTTAAATGGTCGGGATGCCAACGAAGTTGCCGAGTGGTTGCGTTCTATTCCGCAACTGCATGGGCGGTGATTTGATTCCAACGCTTGAACTGATTTTCATGATTCTGATGTTGCATGTATTATATGAGCCCATATGTCCAGTTATTAATTCTCTCTTTATCTTTATCAGCGAATACATACTGCATATTTTTGGAAAGTCTGTTGAAGAATACTTAAATGCTTTACTTTAGCACGTCGATCGAGATTTCCGTACTGCTTCAAGCATCATACAGTCAGCTTCTTAACAGGTCTGGCTTTACTTCTTGCTTTGTTGTCTGTCCTCATTATGAATCAACTTCCTGACACTATTAATTATTGCATTATTTGGAAGTAACATGTTTAGAGCTGGATAACCGTTTAATTAGCACAGATGTACTTTTTGGTAAATCGAATGATTCAGCACGACGAAGATTATCCAACAGTAAGTCGCTTATTTTCGAATTAGTTTCTGATATTTTATTCTTATTTCACTCATTGAGATGTCCTTCATAACGTTTTAATATACTTTAATCTTTTACTTTTTGTCGAAAAGCTTGGTATACGAATATTTCTTCAGACTAAGTTTAATCTCATTTTCTTAGCAGGTCCGGCGGTTTTGTCTACTGCAGTAATCGCGCGATCGTCGAGTGCTCCACGATTACAAACGTACAAAGCAGAAGATGAGATATCTGTGGGAGATAAGTGTTTTCCGTTGTTCATTATCATTATCATCACTCTACAATCGTAGTGAATCTAAGCGAATCTTCTAATGTTTCAGAAATTCGCCGTTTCTGGCCTCCACTGCGTTCACTGGAAACATTACACGATAACATACGTTTTAGTCAGTTGGATCGTTTCCTTGAGCGATTGATGAAAATTCGAACACCGATCCCTTCCCCACCAAAAACACCAGTCTTTTCAAATAAAAGTAAGTTTTTTTTTTGACTCTGTTTTTTACACTCATATAAGCTTAGTGTTCCATAATTAGAATAAATATGAACTATCGCAACAAATTTATTTTTCACTTTTTCCTTTTCTATAATTTGTAGTAAATCACCTATAAACTTCCGTATTTTTTGTAGTGATATCAGTAGTTGCAGCAGAGCTGTCCGATACGGCAAGAAAATTAGAACGAATAGGTCACTGAAGTTTATGGAATCTTGAATTTTTATAAAACAATTTCGATTATTTTCTTCATCTGATAGATCTCATCGCTATCAGTGAAAATTATTTGATTTCACTTCATATTATTGTTTAAATTCCATTTAATATTATTTGTCATTATTTCCACAACTATTGTGGGGTTTTTTTCTACTGGGAAAATTTAAATTACTGGAATTTTCCCTCAGTATATTATTTCAGAACTTTTCAAGTTTTCCGAAATTCTAATCTATTCGCAGCATTTCTAAGTATGTAAAGTCTTCAAGAGTCAGTGAAGATACCTGATTTATATATTTGCTTGAGATCTTTCCGAAGTTTCTCTGTATATATTTCCCTCTGACTTCTTCGAAATTTTCAGTTGGAAATTTTGTAAAAATATATTGTTTGGACCTTGCATACATTTATAATTATTGGAAGCTAAGGACTTATTTGTTTGCAACTTTGGATTGATTTTACAATTATTCTATTATGCGTACGTAGGAATCAATCGGAAACACTTTATCAAGTTTCATTTATTAAAAATTGCGAGTTACAGATGCGCTTCTTTTTTTTTTGTAAAGATAATTTCTTTAATTGCCTTTATATCAGCTCTTTTTGTTGTTCTTTATTCTTTTTATTTTATTGTTGCACATTTATTAGCATTTTTTTTCCTCTTTTTCGAAAAAGGTGCCATTTCAAAAAATTTCATTCTGATGCTTTCCTCATGAATAACTTCAACATTTCAGTGACACTCGAGTGATTGTAATGTTTTCCTTATTATATCATCTTTGCATAAAATTTTTTCGAATTAATTACATTTCTGTAATATGCAAGCCGAATGCAGAAATGAGCGGACAGTATAAGCTGCTAATCAGCACTTTCATTTCATTATGATTTGACAATTCTTTATGCAGCGAAGAAAAGACATTTGATTGAAAGACAACTCGTTGGTCTCTCATAAATGCATTAACCTAGTAATCATGATAAGTCAGGAATGAGACGAAGGAATTGCTGAACATTTCTGTCGACACAAAGAATGAATGTTGACGGTTTGGGCAAGTTTAGTTGGTTCCATAAAAACGAAGCTGTGCTTGCGTATTTTAGATCGTTTCAAACTCATTTCAGGAATATTTTCAATTTTCAGAATTCCTTGTTTGAAATTCAAGTCGATCTGTTTTGTTTCCGTTTATCTATCAAAAAAATGTGCGGCTTATTCTCTAATCAATCACTGGCACCAAAAAAAAGTTAAGCTGAATTTAGTATAGCATGATTGATAAGGAGATCAAGGATTGATGGCTCGTAGACCACTGATCCATTGAGGTTAGGAAGATTTCTTTATTCTTTTTTCCGTCTAAAATGTTTCGCTTTTTCCGATTATTTAAGACTGATTTTCATAGTTGCCAAAACTATTTAAGTCCAAATCCCAGCAACGAATTAAGAGACTTTATTAGAAGAGCTTTCGAAGTAAGTAAAAATAGAATATCAATTTGATCATGGATGATCTTATTAAAAAAAAGAGCTATGACGAAGACGATGCATAAACGCATAAGCGTGTCATTTTGACAAGCCGATAAGAAAGAACAGTTTTATAACTTGACTGAGAAATTATTTTGATGCGAATAATAACATGTATTTAACAGAATTCTTAGTCTTATCAAAAAATATTGTCATTGCTGCTGTGAATGGAATTCATCTATGTTAGTGTGAAATTGTATCATAAATTGAAATGGTAAATAATTTAGTAAAAAATAATAGACAATTTGAACGTCCCAATGACGTAACGTGAAACACTTGATGTCTTCAACTACATTACATCATTTTTCTCGAGTATGATAACGAATAATGTCTAGCTCTCGATGTGAATCAGCATCTCAATTCAGTGCAAATTAGATTATGATGATTCGATTACTTAATTTTAATCAACTCATTTACCACTACAATATTTACTTGATTTATAGAAAGACTGGAATAAAAGTGCTTTATTTATACTGCTGATTATTGATTATTGGTGATATTATACTAGGACACAATTCTTAGGTCTCTCTTCATGGAAGGGATGATAAAGGGGTGAAAAAAAGCGATACTAATAGCCGGTTGCATCTAAAAATGATCAAAGGATCTCTCAGATTAATGGATAAGAAGTAGAAACAGAGAGCAGTAGCTGTGAAATTAAATTGTTCCACTGATCTGATCTGATTTAATCTGCTTCTTATCAGCACTGTGAATTGGTGAGCTGTTGCAGTGCTATCGTTCATTTTTTGCTCTTATTGACCGAATTACCGAAAAAGTTGTTTACATTGTGCCCTAATTTAGCTATCAAAAAACAACTGTAGTTATTGCCTCGAGCCGTTACTGATTTAGAATTTTTACCGTTATCTCGCTCTATACCGTTATTTCGAATACATTTCATTGAGAAGTCAGCACTAATTTCAAAAGTGCAAAATGTTATTCATTGCTGTTTTACTACTTTATTTCTATTCCATAAATCTTTATTGCATCAAAGTGCAAAACCTCATCTTATAATTTGAAATGCTATAGTCTACAAAACGTTACCAATAATTATTGCAAAGGTGTTATTTATGATATGAAATCTTTGAAGCTTTATTATTAATAGCTGCAGTTTTTTCTTTACTTAAGCAAACCACATTACAAGCAAGCAAATTTAAGTACATGGATGAGGAAAGATCTTGTCTCGATTTAATTCGGAACGAAAGTAAACGAGATTTAAGTTGGGCTAGCGACTTGTCTCTTCAAGTTAGCAATTGTTAACTTCCTCTATTAGTTTTGTGTTGCAAAAGGGAAGAATATTTTGTTATATAAATTAAGTAGTAACCTAAATGAGGCAAATCTTTTTATTTTACGCTATTTTCCAGCGAAATAAACGCTACGCGTTTGAGACATACGACGTATCTGAAATTAATTCAATGTTTTACTACTTCCTATTAAAAAAGACAAACAATTCGATTAAGTCGTCTAATGATCCTATCTGAAGATTATATAAATATCCAAGGAGAATATATAAATCCCAAAGGCAATTTCTCGAAATGAATCAGTTGAGACGCCTAAAATGCAAAAAACATGTGCGGATGTTTGTCGGAACGCAATGGAATGGGTGGCTTTTGGCAAGTTTTATGCAGTGTTGTGCATGTAACGCCATCATCCATTGCTTCCCAGAGTGCTCATACCGGAACTCTGCTCAGTTCGCATCCGTCTGGCGACTGTTTCTCGCTCCGCAGCACTGCTGCCGTTCCGTATCATTTCTCCTATCACAATTTGCCCACTCGATGATAGCAGTGATTTGCGCTTATCGATTTCCGCTTTCACTACCCAACCATATGCGCTTCTCATGATGATGTGACAACTGTGACAGACAGACTCGTTTCACAGCAACCATTTGGCTCACTCAATTACAGCGATAGAATTTTCAGATCTTCTTATCTCGTCAATTTCCTGTAACAATCAAAACAACCAACAATAATATTTGAATGCCCGCCTATGTCCGAGTGTTGGCTCGGAGCCAGGAGACCCCGCTTTTTTGAGATTGTCTTGGACAGTGTGTCGTGTGCAGTTGTGCGGTTTCCTGGTGGATTAGAGTGTAGTACTTTACTTGGTGGGACATTTAGAGTTTCTGAAACTTGGGGATATAATCATTTGTAGATTGAAAATGAAAATGAGTCTTGAAATATGCGAGTAATTATTCATGTTAAGTCAAAGATTTTTAACTTACAAGTCAAAAAAACAGTAATTAAACTTTAGTTCAGAAGATTTGAGAATTTCTAGACTGAATGTCAGATGTGTATTTTATTTCGCACGCAATTCTTTATGTGTTTCTTGGGATTTTTAGAACAAAAAATCAATACGAACGAGCAGAATTAGTTGAAAAGTTTAGGTTAATTATGGCTGGTTATCCATTTGATCAGATTGTTCCTATCAAAAATTGTTTAATGCTTTTTAATAATTTGATATTGAAATTTAATGTGAAACTGTTAAACTTATTGGAATGTATAGAAGATGCTATTTTATAGATGGTTCTTTTGAGAAACACTCAGTTTCACTGCTTCTGTTTTGTTAACCGGATGATGTTACTGGAGATCTTCATGTTGAGATGTCAATCAAATTTTCATTCCTGTTTCTAGGTTTCACAATCAGATCCTGCCTATTGTAGGGTTAAATATTTTCGAAGTTTCTTTTTCTTAAGTTCTTAACGTTCCGAATCTTAAGTTTTGGTTATATTCCAATGGAAAATTTAGATATTCCCATGAAAATTGCTTAGGAAACCAAACTGTTTATCACATCATTCTAACACTGAACATTTTAGAAATAATTTTTGGAATTTTGCCGAAATTTACTTATATTAATATTATATTCAAATTTGAAACAATATGTTAAAGCGGATGAGTAAACTGAGAGACAGTGCTGGCAACATTCGGATAATGAGGAAAGACGGTTCTGTTATGCTATGATGATTGAAGTTGTGTGTATTTACATTTGGTTTTGATTAGGATGTCAGTCTGATTTTGTTAAGACCTGAACAAGATTTTGAAGAACCGGTTTCGGATTGCGGTCGCAGTGTGGGGAATTGATGTGGAAGCAACATTTGAATGATTACAAATTGGATGGATATTTGCTGAATTCATTAAAGGCGTTTTCTATATATGTCGATTTGCTTTTACACTCTATGTGATATTCGAGAAATGAAATGACCCTTCAAACAAGTAGAAATGAGTTTTTCTCAAATTGGGCAATAGCAATTTTCCCCGAGGCAATCAGTTTTTGTTGTTGTTTCCTACGGAAAAGTGGATTTTGCAGAATGATTTCCATACTATTATTAATAGTAGTACTGAATAGCAAGCAATTCTGATATTTTTATTTTTGCATTTTTTGCGCTTTGAATTTTGCGACCATCATATTTTCTATACTGATTGATTGTTAAATTTGGTTTTTGCCTTCATTTTTCCAGAAAATGCCTGCTATCACTATTATATCTTTGTTTAATTATCCTTTATTAGCCTGTGGTATCTTGCCATACCAAACACATTTACTTTATCAGGTTTGTCTGTTATATTGCTTGATATGCTTTCATCTAACAATCCATACCAGCTTTTATTTTCGTAATGTTAAGCGAGTTTGATGTTCGACCTACAACTTTTTGATTTCGGTATAGTTTTTTATTAGTTTGGAATCATGTTTTATAGCTAAATGTATTATTGAAGTCAGTGTTTTGAGTTAGCGCACTGTTCTATCTATAAAAATACTGTAGTCTCAAGGACTAATAAAACTTTTGATGAATATCCCTTCAATTATTGCAAGCAATGATTCGGTGAAAGAATATCTGCGTAGTAACTTATCATTTCAAATAGTATTTCAAACTTATTTTTCATCATTAATACTTGTTTCATGATCTCCTGACAGAGATCGTCATTTGTGAATGTTATACTTATGGTTAATTGCAGTGTCTTGTTTCTTAGAGGGGTTTTATTAAGTATTTGTTTGTAAGACCTATTGAAATAAAAGCTGATCCTCGGATTTTTAATTAAATAGTCTGTTCAAGTTTCTTTAAATTTGCAAAGGACAATGAGCGCAGTCATCTTAACTGACAGGAAAGAGTTAGAATTGCGAGTTTAACCTAACTGAGAAATGATTCATCGAAAATTCCTTTTGATATTTGACTGTTTCTGTGCGGTTACATAAGAATTTGTTTTTAACAAGTTTTCATTTATTGCTATCTACACTTCTATTTTCAAGTTTATAAATTACAGTTTGTTACTTTATGCCAATACTCACTCACTATCATAAATAGGTATTGTCTCCCATCGTTTAAATGCTGACCAGAATAATGTACTTTTATTCTATGAATAAACAAAATGAGAATCTACTTGAATTATCGATTAGCGCACTGCGACGCAAACTCACATATACATTGAGAATTGAAAGCAGTTGCCATATATATGAAGCATTTCTATTATATTTGTATAGTTTACCAATTAAATTTGTAACGCGTTTGTATGACTTTTTTGTGAAGCAAATGTATCAGATAGTTGTTAAGTGCATAATCCTTTCATATATTCAGGTTTTAGTTTCACTTTCAAATACCTTATGCTACAAATACTTCTGTCACTAAGAAATATACTGCATTTCCTTCCAAAAATTGCTCAAAGTTTGAATTTTTTATAATGAAGTGGTTATGATGAATGATTCTTCGCTTTACTTGCTTCTCATCTATCTTCACTTCTTTCGAGTTTTTTGCTTCATCAGCGTGGTCATCAGAGTGTTTTTAGAATTGACAGGAACGTCCATATCCATATAACATAGTTCAATCACCTGAAAAAATTTGGCAACTCATTTAACATCATGCCCAAACAGTAATGAGCAGTAGAACACTGCTGTTTTGAAAAACAATTTGAATAGTCATGCTTATACGAAGGTGTTGGGAGTGGTCCACTTGCGGTCATTTCATCTATAATGAATTAGAATGATATCCATTTTCGGTGTTCCTTATTCTTGTTTTAAATATTTCCCTGAACATCTGTTCATCTGGAATCTGCTTGCTTCAATATTATTCTCAAAGTTAATTGTAATTCAAAATGATGACATTTTTTTTCCATTCAAATGTTTTATTTACCCAACTCTGGCTACTCATTTCAAACACTGAAGTGCCCGATGGATAAAGTTTGTTTTGTTTATGGTAAGTGACTACATATGATAAATAGATGTGGTAGGTGGCTCCATATATAAATAGAGCTTTAAATAATAAAATGATAAAAATACCACTGGTATTCTTCTGGGCAGCAAATTTTGAAGAAATTTGTGACTTTTTGTCAGACTCTAGTTTAGTTTGCACTGTGAAATGATGCTATCTCTCTAGTTATAATTATCCAGAAAGTTTACCTGTTCTTTTTAACTGCTGACTCGAAGAACTTATTAGTTGCTGAATGCCGTAGAAATGCAGTAACTGTGCCCACATTCCTAGTGTGCTGTTTCAACACTATTTTATGATTTGATTGAAGTTAATTATCACTATCTAGATCGTTCATTCAGACTACAAAGATGAAAGAACGGTACACAAAAATATTAACCTTTCTTCATTTTTTCATCAAGCGAAAGACATATTTAATGACTTCGGTACAATTTTCATATCAATCATTTTAAATTATTGTTGTGCTTTGAGAGCGATCTCCCATTATACATGGAAGAAATCCATGGTTTTTGTCAAAGTAATGTTATTGGAATTTGTTGGGAAATACCAGAGCAGTGACAGATACACTCAGAATTTTGATTCTCTCATGTTTAGAAAATAGTCTCTAGATGTGATATGTATTACTAGACTTTAAATAAAACAAAAGTGGGATAAATTAAAGGTCCTGGTAAGTAATGCTTCATGTTTCTCTTTTTGTTTAGAAAGTAAGGAGATGGTTTATATGCTAGCATAAATTATGCCATTTGTGGCGGAATTGTTCTTGGTCGATTTATTATGCCATAGAATTGTTCTTGGTCAATTTACTGTTTCGAAGTAATCTTCAGCATTCAGACAAAAAAGTAGAAAAGAAAGATTTTTTTTTTTGTAATAGGGGAGATATTCTGATGTGTTCCATGTCTCCATTTCCTTCAACAATTTTGAAGTGTCATCGAGATGTTTTATAATAAATACTCAGCGCAAACTGATCGCATTGTCAAGTTCAAACATTGCTTTATCTTTTCATTAGTTTTATCAGAAAGATTACAGATGAAACAAGATTGGTTTTGTAGTGACATCTCTGTAATGAAAGAACCCTATCTACAGCATAGATAGCCGGATATAGCATAGAATTGATCATTCAGGCAATTATAGTAAATTTATGTATGACCAAAATGATAAGCTCTTCTTTTTTCCGATTGGTGTCACTCTTCAACTTTGGGACATTTTAATTTAGGATGGACTGAAATCAGTTTTCTCTTCTATGCCTTCCATGGGTAATGCTCCATAGGTTTAAGTATTTGTAATTTCTCTCGTATGAAATCAATGATGCTGCTTAACTGATTTAATTAAAGGAAGAATTTGCCAACCTCATGAAATTGATGGACAAATTTCATGTTGTTGCTTACCATCCTGTGCTTCTTCAAATACTGATATGTAAATTCTATCACAATCTTATTTATGAAAACAGTTGGATTTAATTTACCTCGTATTCATTCCCTTCATTTTTCCATTGCATGCATAATGTAGCTAGCTATAGATCAACTATCGGCCAATTAGAGTCTCTTACATCCTTTTCTATATAAAGTAAACTTCTAGAGCAATGATTTCAATATCATCTAATAACGATAATGATTTTGTTTTTAAGCTCAATGATTTCAAGTAAGTCTCGATTGCAACAGCGCATTTTCCCCATCTAATTTATGTTATCTTTTTCTAAATGAGTCATTTAACATACAGTAATTAATCAATGTAGAGCGTTTCAAAAACCAGATTTGCCACACAACAGTTATTGAATTTAAATTTGAATTCCAATAATTTCCTCATTAATATGATCTTTTTGAGCGCACATTGTCAGTCATTCTTTATACATCCCTTTCATATAATCTCAAAATGTATTATTTGGTAATGCGTTTTTAATTCCGCATCTAAATTATCGACAAAAGAAAATATTAGCATTCCTAATTAACCAAGCAATTTCTAAGACTAAGTAAGTAATTGCATATGTTTTGCATGTGCATTGAAAATGATGTATTCGCTCAATTAAGAATGTCTTTTGAGACCAAGATAATTATTTTGATTTTGATGTTTACTCTTATCCCATAATTTATCTTGCGAATTATTGTAATCCCCGTAAAGGAGCTAATATTATTAATATTATTATTACTATTAATACATTATTATAGTATATAAGTGGTACCCAGAAATCTTTCATCATGCTTATTAAGGATGAAAATAGTAAAAAGTAAATTCTCTAAATTAAAATTCAAGTTCCAAATCCAAGAAGAGTTTTAAAAATCCTTTAGCATGGATAAATTCATTCTAGCGCGTTAAATCTTTTATCAAAGGAAGAAATTTTTTTTTGTTCAAAACTATTAGTTCTACTCCTTTTGTTTGAGAGAATAGAGCACAAGAATCTTTTTATTTGTGGATGAAAATGCAGACAGATGAGCAGAGAGGCATAGTTTCCTTAATTTTTTCCCCGAAAAAAAGATTATGGATGTGTTTAATACAAAGTGGTTTGTACTTGTTACTTCATCAACTAACTCATTAACTCTTTGCACTCTCAGTATTTACACTTTTCTACTCCTTTTGTTGGGAAAGATAGAGCACAAAAAAGGAGATTTCCTTCTCCAGTGTAAAGTGGGAACTTGAAATCGTACAAAAGGAAATGGGAAGGGAATGCTCATTTGGAATATCCGGTAATCATCCGGACATTTACATCATCATTCTGCATCACTTCTGTCCATTCCATTTAAACTTAGTTATTAAGACTATTGTTCAATTTATCTGTTTAGTTTTCTTTATTCAAAAATTAGAATGCATATTCATTCCCTTTTATATTTTTATATGTAATGTCATTAGTTTTTATTTACGAATGTCTTAACGAACATCTTAACATCATATATTAGCTTTGATAAAAGTGAAGGTATTTAATATTAGTCATGAGAAGTAAGTCGTATCAAGCCATAGTTGGTCAGTCAGCTCTTTGTTTTGAATATAGTTTTGTTCTGATATGAAAATTTGAATTGAATTTCCAGAGTATTGATCGATTTTGTTTTGTCATCGAATTACTTATTCATGTCTGTGATATTTCATTTTTGGTTATTTAATATTTTTAATGTCACTAAGGATTTTAAAAACTAACAAACTATGTAAAATAGACAAACTGAACTGCGAAATAAAAAATGAATATGATTGGGAAGAAAAACTTATGCATATTTAAAAATTTCTGAATTTTATAAATGAATGTCAACTTGCTTTTATTTACATATTCAGTTTCGATTAATATTTACGATTTCAGTTAGTGTTCACCGAATTCGTTTTTAAATACTCTGAATTAGTAACTTCATTTAGCGCGACTTAATGTATTAATTTTCATCTTATATTCACTTTTCCTTTTTTATATGTTGGCTTTATTCATTTTATTGTCACAGTTTTTTTCCTGTTGAATAATTATTTCAGATATTATTTTTTAAATATCACTTCTTATGTGTTTGGATTCTCATAGATTGTTCTTATGTTTCCGATTTAGTCCCTGCATTTTCCTTTTTATGGAATAATTCAAGGATAGCAAAAACAGCAAGTTTAGACGTTGGTGTCGTTAACTGGTTTTAAATCAGATCTGGCTGTGAATATAGTCCGTACACTACTTTCATTATTGGACAGACGAATTAATTTTTTATTCCTTGTCTATCAAAAGTCGTGTAATTTCATTCTTTTAAATATAAGCTCTGATATTTAATGTCACATTAAATTATAAAAATTAAATATTTTGATTTTCAGTCTGGTAAAGCAATCATTTTTTTCTTATGTTACATTAGTGTAATTGAAATTTTCCAAGGATTTCAATATTTTGATGGAGGTTCCCATATGGCTAACTATTATATGGTTGGACAGAAACAAGACCGTAATTTGATTATCGTAAGTTTAGGTTTGCAAAAAATGACTGCAAGTCTTCGATTTGATTTAACCTTATTTCTCTGTTCATTTATGGAGCTTTTATGTCATTTAAAAGTAAGTTGGTCATTTCATTTCTCCTCAGCTATTGGCTTTGTTAACACTGCTAAGCTTGTTAAAGAACTGGAAGATAGTTCGATAAGTAGCTTGTTAACTAATGATCCAGCCATCTAACATCACTTCCAATTTCATTAGTTAGACACGATGTCTGGCACAAATCGCTTTTCTTTAAAACTTTAACATTTTTACAAAATATTTTATTTGATATTTTTTTAAACAAATGTATTTTCTCAATTATGCTAAAATTTATATAACTTTTGATGATAATAGGGAAAGGGCATTGGAACAGTTATTTCCTTTTGAGAGCTTTTCAGCAGCGAAAATGGAGAACAGAAAGTTGATGACTCAGAAAGAAACTGAAATCATTTGAAATATAGAGTGATTTAATAAAGTTCATCGATTTTCATATGAAGAAATAAATAAAAATCATTGCCAAAGAAGTTAGGCTATTCAATGAATAAGAATATGAAATATTTCTTGTGATAATAATAAGAAAAAAAATACGAAATAATTGAGGAGTGATAGTATTTGTCTATTTTGATGCAGTCACCAAAAAAGCTTTCGTTTAATCTGAAGCAAACATTTTTAATTTTCATTTTAAAATAAATGATTTAAAAATTATTCAACGATTATAAAATGAATGTCTCATAAACCATGTTGTCGTTTCTTGTATCTTTCATTTACCTCAACTAATCATTCCCATATTGCAAGCTTTCAATGGTTGTTGTAATATCTTTCATTTTATCACATTTCCTTTTGCGCACACTCAATCACAGACTTAAAAGCATTCATTTCTGTTTTTCTCTATACTTTTTCGTCAAAAAGCCATTGTAAGAACTTCTCTTTTTCACATACTAATCAACAGTTATATACGACTAGTTTAAGGAAAGAAACAGACTATTTATATTTTAATGATCGTTTTCTATTTCCTTGACTCTCTATTGTACTCATCATAATGTGAAGATGAATACAGTCAGTTCCAAATTCTAAGCATCACGTTAAATTCGTAGATTGATCAACATATAGAGTACTTTGGTAAAGTATACATGATGTTTCCTGAATAAGAGTTGGGTCCAGTGCTCTTTTTCTATTAGCTGCTTTATAGCTAACATGCTTTAATAAAAAGCTGCTAAAAACTATTAGCGATATTATTAGAAAAAGAAAAAAAAATACAGGATAGTCGCATATGATTACAAGAGGTGGATAAACGGTATTCTGAAAAGGTCATAAAACAATCAATAATAGTTATAATCGTCTCGAGTTAGTCAAGTTATGATAACACTGCTAATGTTTCATGTGTATATTCATGAAGTGCAATATATAAGATGAGCTGGAAGAATCAATGTGAATTTTTGAAAAGCTTGGTGTTAACGAAAGATAGCAGACTAGTGGTCACTGTTCAAAAAAGAACAGAGTGCAGTGGACAAGAAGATAAGGCCGACTGCCAATCAGCTACATCTTGACCACTTATTGGGCATCTTGTGGGAGACCTCTTAGTAGTCTTTCTCAACACTAGGAGTGACCACTGTATTATTTTTCAATGCAGAAGTGATATGTCCAAGTGGGAAGAATAAGTCAATGAAAACTGAAGATTTGTTGCTAAAAAAGCACTAAGTTGAATTGAATGAAAATTTAGTAGCACGGTTGTGTTGGGAAGTTTCAATGATATTTGATGAGAGCAGTAGAAAGTGTTTGGTTGTGAATTCATTTCTGCCCCTATAAACTAATGCATCCAGGTTATTCACGAAAGGATATATAATTATGGAGTGGTGCAAATATGCTGCGATGAAAGCCAAGCTGGCTCAAAGTTGAAATACCGAAATAATGTGCGTTTCAAATCGATAGATGACTGTTGTCGAGGAGCAGTGAAATAAATTAGTTTTGTTTTTCAAAGCTAGCTGAGTAAAGAACTACAGAAATTAATCGGAAATGAAAAAAGAGGATTTGCTATCGGAAAGGCTGAAAAAGCAAAAGAAGAGAAGAAGTAAGGCATATACGTTTAACAAATATATGTAAAAGTAGGATGGGATTAGTTCACCCTTTCCCAGTGCAAACCGATGCTTAAGCAAAGGGATTTTTTGCACCTGCTATTTTTATTTTATTTTATTATTTTTTTTTTTTTTTTTATAGCATTCATTTTGAGCAGCCTTCTATAGATTGTTCAAAAGCAATACAATTAACGATTGTTGTAAGTAATTCGAGGAATTCCTTTCTTTTACTATCAGCTTATGACAAAAAATAAAATTTCTGACTAATATATTGTCGTCAAATAAATCGCTAAATAGAGAGTTTGTGCTAAATGATTAAATTTTCGAAATTTCATCATTTAGCATCTCATCACTGCCCATGGAAATATTCATTCTTGTGCTCTACTTCGTTTCTTTTTTTATATGACTTCTTCCTATAATATACATCAACGATCTATAGTTCGTTCTACCTGTTTGCTGTCAGGACTGAGTCATTTACGCCGACTATTGAGTTTTGACTTATGAGTTTGTTTGCATACCACATTAGTTATTTATCTTCACTTTTTTCTCTTTATGCGTTCATTTCCCAAGAAATAACGTTTGCATCAGTATGAAAATATAATCAACATTTTAGAACGAATGTGTAAATATATATATATATATATATGGAAGCTAATATCGGATATTTTTACCTTCATCACTACTCTTTCCTAAAATTAAATCGTTGTTGTTCATGAATTCCACAAACTTGGTACACTTTAACACCTTATCTCCATCGTTCCTCATTCGCTTCTGCGAAAATAACGACAATTTTCGGTGATACAAATAAATGGCATTGAGTAGGAAATGTGCAAATCCAACTTATAAACATTCCGTATGGGATAATCAAAAATCTGCTCATGGAATTTATCGAGTTAAAATCAACAATGAAACGTAAGTTGTTCATTTACATATAACTTTACTTGCCGTGTTATAATCAGATTTGAAAATTTTGATTAGTACCCTAAATTTTGTGTAAAGTTTGATTTAACTCCTGCTGTTTAAGTAGGATAGAGTAAAAGTATGTACTGTTTCTGTTTGTTTCATTTTCTGGAGAAGTAAATTTTGTCTAATCTAGATTTTGAAATCTTATTTTTAGGTCAGTTCATACTTTGAACAGTGTGGCAAAAAATGAATTGGCTTGTTGTTCAAATGCAGATGTTTTTAAATTCCCTATAATGAATGAAGAAAACAGTGTTTTGAAGGGAAACTGCACCACATATCAGATTTGTCCATTAAACAGGAACTATCGCTCATTATCGCGTCAGCACTTTCGTATTCCTGTGACATCATTATTATTCATCGTTTTATCATTGGCCTTTTTATCGATGCCCCAGTTCTCCTCAGTAGCAGCAGATGAGTTAAATTCTTCCGATGCGGTGATCGAATTGACACCCGTTGGTGGCAGCAATAATCATAATAACGGTAGTTACGGAACAGGAACGAGCCAGTCATCATCAACAGCATTGCGCAAAGCGTATACTAATCAGTTTGCTGTGCGAATCACTGGTGGTGATACTCTGGAAGCGGATAAATTAGCGGCAAAATATGGCTTTATCAATCTGGGACGAGTTTGTTTTTTTCTTAAAACTCCATAAAAATTAAGAAATTCGGTCTAGAATAGCAGATTCTCTTGCTAAGTATGCAGATCTTCATTAAGACTAGAGAATGTAAACAGTTCTGATGTTCGCGGTTGCTAAATATGGGAAGTTAAAATGCTTTTTTTATAGCATTTTCATATCTTTGTTTCGTTGATTTTTTGTTTTAAAAGATTTCAAAGCCCTAATAATTTTAACAATGACAGTTCTGCTAACTGATCCTTAAGTAGTACTGTTTTTACTTAACATCGTTTTACCAGTTTGAAGACTGTAGAATCTGAAATTGCTACGAGAGCGATGAAATTATTGTCCACTTGATATTTGATTGTTTACTTTTATTCGACTTCTATTCAACTAAAGCATTAATCTTCCCATCCAGTTAGATTTGTAATGCACTGGAAAATTCCTTTTTTTTGAACTTCATGATTACGAAAGACTCTAATTGCTGAGGAATTTGAAGAAAGTCATGGATTATTTACAACTTTCAGTTTGATATGTTCTCAGTTAACATATCACATCATCAGTTTCAACGTTCATATTTAAGGTTTTACCGAATGATGAATATTTCTTGTTCGAAAGTCGACAAACAAGAAAGAGGTCAACAAGGCGTAGAAGGAATGCTCAAACGAATTCTATTGCAAGAGAACCTAAGGTAAGGTTTTATTTAATTCTTTCGTTCCTCCATGTATTTATAGGTTTCATTTACTTCATTTACTCCTTCAATATCGATATTATTCGACTTCCTAATTCATTCTCAATTTGATTTTCAATATTGTCGATTTGTTATAGATAGTAATATATGGAAAGAAAAGGATCTTCGCCAGATGTTCGTAATTTTTTTTATAGACTATTATCTCCTATCGCTTAGTACTCATATTTGCAAACAGAAAACAATTTGCGGATGAATAAAATGTCTTTCCATCACAAATACTTGTAATCTTGCCTTTATCTTGTCTTCATGCTCTGCATATCATATGCAACGCACAAATATTTCTTCGCAACTAATTAGACGAATAAGAAAATAGTTTTTAAACGTTCTGTTCGGCTATTCGGTGATGAGAAAAGGTAGTGCTGCTAAAAACTGAAGCTGGATAATTATTCTGCATTGCATTAAATTGCAGAGTAAGCATTTTGAAACTCCAAGTATAATCATACTTAATAATATGCCTTAATAAGATAAGAGCGGATATATGGTTTTAAACTATATTACATCTGAAGCATATGCAATTTTCATATATTCCAAGTCGCTATTAGACTTGTGTCCGTTCAGATTAACCAAATATTACGTTCTTCATAGTAGGAACACTCGTTTAAATTCAGAATAACGAAGATTTTGTGGCATTCGCAGGGTGTGTCGAACATACTGTTTCCTTGATTAGAATCACACTGACTGAGTTGTTACATAAAGGGTGGCTATAATAACTGTATTTGAGTTATTTTTGCATGACTTGGTCAGAATGTTAATCTGAAAGGAAAAAGCAATAAAAGTCAATGATAACTTCTAAATATTCTTAAATTCTTCTAAATCTTCATTGTCACCTTTCTGCGAATAAATTTCCTTTTGTGAGAAAATCGAAGGTCATTTTTTTTAGTCACCATTTTTTAAACTGTACCAGCATTTTGTAAACATATTAAATCATTAGATTTCTTCTTCCCCATTCTGCTTGTTGAAAAATCTTGAGCGACTATTGAAGGAATAAAAGAGGACTTATTAAAGTATGCAATCGCTGATTTGGC